CCCCTCCAAGCGGTGAGCTTTGTCCTCTGGCCCCTGGGGAAAGGGTGATGCTGCACCTACACAGCTTATGGAGGGTCGGTCCCTGGGTACTTGATCTGCCAGCCTAGGGCAGGCGCTTGGTAACGATGCAGAGTTTAGAGAGGGGGCTCTAGGGCTCTACTTAGTTGTGTCTGCTGGGGCAACAAGCCTCCACCCCCTACCTTTGCCAGCACACAGCCTCTGCCCGGCTCTGGGCTGCTGCTGGGGCCCTTGAACTTCCACGCTGTAGCTGTCAGAGCCATGTCTCGTTGGGCCTTTGGCCAAGTCTGCGTTTGCAGTGGCCCTCACTAACCCAGCTGGCTGAGACAGGCCTCAGTCTGATCTTCAGCCCTGCCTCTGACTTGCCAGTGGCCCTTGAGCAAGCAGCTGTGTCTCAGTTACCCCATCTGCAGAGGGGGCAGCTGCGGCTCCCATGTGTTAGCTGTGAAAATGAAACAAGACGGTGCCTTAACTAGCCATGTGAAGGCCTTGGAACGTCAGGTTCTTGACACAGCACACATGCCCCTTCCCTGGCCTTGAGGCTGCTGTCAGCGCCAGAGTTTGGCCAGTGTCATTGAAACTGGGCATATGGACCAGCCTTTGGGTTACTTTCCCTGGCTCAAGCTGTGCTCTCTTTCTAGAAGGTCTTCCTTGTTTTGCTTATCTAGAAAGAATGCTAGACACTAGGAATGGGCCTTCTTGGGTTGACCTTTCATTGGGCTTGGCCTCTGTCCCTCCCCTTGACCCATGACACATACGCCTTGTTCTGCCAACCAGGACTGGGCAGCTCCTGGGGATGGGACCACCTTGCCTTAGACTCTTTGTCTAGGAATAGCTGGTCAACTGGCTGGAGCTCCTGTGGAAGGTTCCAGTGGCCAAGGCCTGGGGACTGGCTCCATCCAGGGGAGGCCAGATGGATAGTGGTTGGGATCAGCACATGAGAACTGCCAGCTCCCCTGTTCTCTAGCATGGAGGGTCAGCCACGTGGCCTCTTCCCACAGGTGCCCCCTGAAAACTCTGCAGAAGTGTGAGATTGCCTTGGAGAAACTCAAGAATGACATGGCAGTGGTGAGTGGGGTGCTGTGGTCTGGAGGTGTTTGGAGGGCCGCAGGCATCTCTGGGAAGGTCGGCACACCCGACAGTGGCTCAGACCCACGGGCTGGGAGGAGCCTTCACAGTCCAGAGTGGCAGAGGGGGCTTACTGCTTAGCCTGGGGACCCTGCCTAGTCTTTTTCCTGGTTGGTCTGCTGTGAGTGGTGGGGATGTGGAAGAAATCAGCCTCTGGCTATGGTCTGTGGGTGTTTCCTCCATCCCCCAGGCTTGTGGATTTTCCTGCAAGCTGCCTCCACCATCCTGCCTCCACCTGTCCAGCACGAGGCCAGACCCCAAGCAGAGGGGACTGTGGAGAATGTGTCCAGGATTGTCCATCTTTATCTGCAGGGGGTGGGGAAGCCTCGGGAAGCCTGGCTGTAAGGATGAGGACTTTGGGGTCTGGAGAGCCTCCCCTAGAGTGGGCTGCTGACCCCGCCCATTCTTTCCCAGCCCACACCCCCACCACCCCCAGTACCACCAACGAAACAGCAGTACCTGTGCCAGCCGCTCCTGGATGCCGTCCTGGCCAACATCCGCTCACCTGTCTTCAACCATTCCCTGTATCGAACATTCGTGCCAGCCATGACAGCCATCCATGGCCCACCCATCACGTATGTACAGCTTCGCGGTGGGTGGTGGGCCATGGGCCACAGCCTAGCCCAGTGTGGTCACCATGGCCGCCTCCTCCAGGGCACCGGTGGTGTGTACCCGGAAGCGTAAGTTTGAAGAGGATGAGCGGCAGAGCATCCCCAATGTGCTCCAGGGGGAGGTGGCCAGATTAGACCCCAAGTTCCTGGTGAACTTGGACCCTTCCCACTGCAGTAACAACGGCACCGTCCACCTGATATGCAAGCTGGGTGAGTACCCAGGGAGGACTGGGCTGGCAAGGAGTGAGCTCAGCACTGCAGCCCCAGTGTCCTGCCGCTTCCTTGGGCCCATAGTGGGGATGGGGGCACAAAGCTTCCAGGCCATACCTCAGCACCGGCCCAGCCCCGGGCTGTGCCCTCCAGCCTGATGTGCGCTCGACCTCCCACAGACAGGCACACTCAACACCACAGCCCCTGGCCCACAGTCCTTTTGTCCCTCTCAGAACCCTGCCCAAGTTGTCCTCGACCTTCACACCTGGCCCAGGACATGTACCAAGGGCTGGGCCACGAGCCCATGCACTCTCACCTCTCCTGTGTGTGCCAGGGAAGCCCCTCCCTCCTGCCCTGCTTGCCCAAGGCCCTGCGGAAACATGGAAACCTGGGAGTCCGAGCAACCTCCAGGCTTTGTAGGCTCACCAGAACCTTTTGGGGTGTTCAGAGCAGGGCTGTGAGGTGGGGCAGGCAGAGTTATAGGTGTAGCCTCTTGTATTGCAGATGACAAGGACCTCCCTAGCGTGCCACCGCTGGAGCTCAGTGTGCCCGCTGACTACCCTGCCCAGAGCCCACTGTGGATTGACCGGCAGTGGCAGTACGGTGGGTGAGCCGAGAGGACGGCTGTGGGAAGGCCTCACGGCTGCTACCTGGGGACCCAGGGCAGGCGGGGGTCAGCTCTGGGCAACCAGACATTCCTCCATGTGCCCCCCTCAAGCTGAGGCCCCTCCATCTCCTCCTCTGGCATCCCCTTCATGGACAAGAGCGGGTCACCCAGAAATCACTAAAGAAGTGTCTCGGCCCTCATTGTGTCCCTTTGCCTGTCCTGCAGCTCCAGGGCAGCCCTTGTCAGTGGGTGATGAGTGAGCAGACCCAGCCGTTCCCGTGGCTCCTGTGGCCTCTGCAAAGCTACCATGGAGTCACAGGAGCTTGGGCTCATGGGGACCCATCTGGGTGACATGGCTCCAAGAAAGGCCCAGAGAGCTTCATTGATGGGGACAGTCCCCCTGAAGCTCAGACCTGGCTCATGGAGGACTAGCACTGGGACCTTGAGGCTGTCCCTGAGGGAAAGCCCTGGGCTCCAGGTTCATTTACGTCCTAGTTCTCCGGTGATGTGTTAGCCCAGGAGAGCCTGCCAGCCACCAGCAGTGCGTGGGAGGTGGCATCCCAGGTCGCCATGGCTGGGTGAAGTGACTGAGAGGGTAGCTGCTGCGCCATCCCCCCACCCCCATCCCACACCCCGAGTTGCTTGTGTGGGCTGAGGTCCAGTACAGTGCTCATGGCCTACTGCTTTGTTGCAGACGCCAACCCCTTCCTGCAGTCGGTGCACCGGTGCATGACCTCGAGGCTGCTGCAGCTCCCCGACAAGCACTCAGTCACAGCCCTGCTCAACACCTGGGCACAGAGTATCCACCAGGCCTGCCTCTCAGCCGCCTAGCTACCACCTCTGCAGCGACTCGGGCTGCCAGCCCACCAGGGACCACGGGGTCAGCCGGCAGCCTTGTCGGGGCCGTAGACACACGCCTCGCCTTGTGTTGGACCTTTCTAGGTGTTGGCTCTCTTAGAGAGCCTGGACTTAGGTTAGCTTTTCTGCTTTTATCTTCTGCCTTGGGGACCTACCAAACATTTTCCCACACTTGTACCGGACTGGGACAGGTGGCTACGGAGCTGGCTACATCGGCAGTGAGGCTGGGAGTTCCTCCAGGAGGCAGACATGCCCCTGGACCTACACCCCTCGGGCTGCTGTCCCCATGGCCCCTGTAGGGCTCATGTCCTTCCTTAGCAGCATGGGGGAGAAGTCAGGCCCCATGAGAGCCCCTTGTTTGTGTGCCAGAAAGCACTCTACCTGTTTCTATGGGGAAACATGGAGAACATTGGAAACCCTTAAAACACACAGAATTCTCTGGTCACAGTGTTGGGTTCAGACCGTGCCACTGTTGGTATATGGGGCACCCGCCATGTCTCAGAGGAAAGTCTGGCCTATGGGTGGCTGCAAGTCCCCATCACCAGCTGGACCTCATACCTCACGGCATTCTCCCTTTCATCCTTGGGGGTGCCAGGGAGCAGAGGTGTCTGGGGGGATCCTGTCCCTGGCATAGGACACACTAGTTGGGTCTACTCATGGGTCAGGGTGCCAACCTCGGGACCTGACGTCCTCAGAGCCACTCCAGAGTGAGGACTCCCTGACAGGGCATCGGCCGGCCTGGTGACGAGAGGTTCCCCCTTTTGTATATGCACTACCATGTCATCTGTGATTCTTATAATAAATTTATTATTCCTGTGTTTGTCATGAATTCGTCACTGTGCCTCACCCCCGTGAGTCCAGGGCCCACTGTTTAGTGAGGGGTGCCGTCAAGGCTGAGCCAGGCCCCCCACCTTGGAGATGGCCATGGATGCCCAGACCTTAGTTCACCCTCATCTGACTGCTGGTGCCTCACCCTGCTTCACCCCCAGGTTCCTGGCCAAGTTCCTGCTCCCCGAAGCTGAAAGGCAGAGATGAGCACTGAGGACGTGAACAGGAGGACACTCCTGTCCGGTGAGGTTTAGTGCTAAATGGGCCACGCATGAGATGTACTACGAAGCTGCTGTTCTGACATTTGAGGGGAGTGACACAAGGCCCTCACTGGGTGGGGCCATCACAGGGCAGGGCCCCAGTGCCCTGAAGAGGACCGTTTTTTGTGGCCATGGCTTTCCACAAGCGGAAGGTAGGCTCGGCTGGGAGGCTCATCAGCTGTTTGTCGGTGTGGACACAGGAAGTCACTGAGATAGGACAGCATCTTACCCCCAGGAGTGTCTCGTCAGGCTGGAGACCTTGAGTGCCTTACTGCTTGGAAGGTAGTCCCCGGCCCAGCCAGGGGCCAGGAAAGCCTGCACTCCAAGGAGGAAGCGTGTGCTGTGTCTGAGTCTGTTTTTCAGGGCAGCTGCTAGGCCTCTCCCCGCCCCCCCCCTCACCCCCAATTATAAGGAGCAGAGCTAGGAGCCCTCCTGGGGCAATGACACCTGACAGCCAGTGAGGGACTATATACTCTGAACTGGGAGAAAGAAATGAGCTTTATTTTATCTTCAGCAGGCGGAGTAACACCTATTAATATATCGTGTTTTTGTGTAAATGCAGAATAGCAAAATACTGAGCAAGAAAATAAACAGTTTCTCAATTCTGAGACCAAGGACTTTATCTGCCGTGAGTTTGATTTATGTGGAATTAGAATTCTTTGGAATGTTACCTAGAGAGGGTGAGTGTCTCCAGCTGTGGTTGGGGCTGCACAGGGGCACTCAGAGCACAGAGCGGTGCAGCCGTCGGCTCTGCACAACCTGCAGCCTTTTCCGCCTCTCTGCAAAGTTACTTTTCAGGGTCTGCTTCAGCGCGGGCAGGATGGCGCGCTCTGCCTCAGGCATTGGGCTCAGGATCAGGCTGGAGGGGGCAAAGAGTGGGCAGTGGAGCTGTGGCTGGGAGTGGCTGCTGGGCACTGCCCGGAGCCAGGGGCCTGCTCTACTGCACCTGGCACTCCCCTCATGGCCGCCCCACCCTTCTGTGCCCCTGAGACTCACCATTTCTTAGAGACGCCCTTGGTGTGGACCTTGGGAAGCTGCATGGTCTGGTCCCTGGAGAAGGAAGAGAGTCAGCAGTGAGCCCACATGACTAGGCCCGCCATGTTTGGGTGAGGGCGCCCCAAGCACTTACTTGGAAGTATTTGGGCTGGCCTCTACCGGGGCAGCCTTGGGCCTCTGGGTCCCCTCTAGGAGGGACTTGAGGTGCTGCAGCTGAAAGGCAAGAAGAGGAGGCATGGTGGCCGAGGCTGCAGAGGCACCAGGGCCGCTGCCCCATGCCCCCCCACCTCCGTCCAAGCCTCACCTCTTGGGCCTGCAGGAGATTGGCATTCCACAGCTGGCGGATGACCACCTCACATTGCTGAAGCGAGGTGGGCTTGCGTAAGTGGGGTGGCAGGCTCATCAAAGAGGGCGCCCCTATCACTTGCTTGCCCTTGTGCTGGCTGCCTGCCACCAAGGTGTCTGGATTAAAGATCTCCACTTCATCTCTGAAATGGTCATTGCAACAGCCCAGAGGTGGCCTGCCAGGGCTAACCACCCACCCTCTCAGGGCAGCGCCTTGACCAGCTCGAGGCCAGTGTAGGGAAGATGGGCACTGACACAGCCTTCCGGGTGGCCTGGCTGCCTTCTGCTGACCAGGGTGCTCCAGGCACCAGGTGGGGGTCTCGGGCTAGCTGTGAGCTGGCCCATCCCTCCCCTCAAGGTGCACTGAGGCTCAGATGTGGTTCAAACTGTCCTGACCCCAAACCTGGTGGGGCTGGTCAAGAGGGAATCTAAGGACTATGCAGAGAAGCAGGAGCCTGCCCTGCTGACTGCACTACCCGGAGGACAATGGGGTCCCATTTTCAGGCTCAAAGTCCAGGCTCACTGCTGCTTTCCAGGGAAGTCCCAGCAATGGGGTGTCCCCAGATCCTCCTCTGTCCTGCTGACTCTGTCCTTCCAAAGGCCAAATGAGTTTCCCAGGGTGGAACCTGATTCACTGTTCTCAGTGAAAAGCAAACTCAGTGGGAGGCCAGATTCTTTGAGAAAATGGGATAGGGGCTGCTACTGGCCCTCTTGTGGTCTCAGGTCAACAACAGGGACCCTGCGGGTCCCCCAGCTTGGTTCACTCTGGAGGCTGTCCCATTTAGAAGGCAAAGCGATGGGCTGATTCCAGGGTGAGAACCTACTAAATGCTTTACCTGGCCGGCCCTTGTGCCCCTGGGGTTTTGTCCAGCTTGCTGCTGTGAAACAGGGCAGCAACCGGGGTCTCTTCTTCCAGGTCTGTCTTCTGGGCATCGTCAGCTTTCAAGTCTTGCTTCTTGAAGGAGCTGGGCTGAGGTCTAGCTTTGCCTTGAGAGTTAGCTATAGGTCAGATCCAGACAGGGCCAGTCACTGCGGGCGTCAAGCGCCGGTGCCCAAGTCCTCCAGGATTGGCCGTGTGCACCCAAGGAGCCCTGCCCCCTGCCTCAGTTTCCTCCTGGTAAAGGGGAGATGGTAACAGAGCCTCCTGCTGGGAAACACGAATGAGGGTCAGGGTGAAGCCTGTGGGCAGTGCCTCCTACTGACTGCTCTGACACACCTGAAACGGGCCAGTCTCCTCCCAGGACTCGGGAAATCCTAGGGGTGGGGGTGGCCCCACAAGCTGTTCCTAGGCTCTGAAGCAGCACCTCATTTGGGGCAAAATGAAACTGAACGAGAGGTCTGGACCCAGCCTGCACAGGTTTACTTTCCAAGGATGAGGCCCATGGCCCACCTAGGTCCTACTTAGAAAGGGCAGGGGCCGCTCCTGGTCAGGATCCCTGACCTCTCAGGGAGGCAGCGTGGGGAGAAGAGGCTCTCGGCTTTGCTTATGTTGCAAAAGGCACCACAAGCCCAGGGCTCCATAGGCAGGGCCACCCCACCTGCCTCCTGCCTGCTTTGCGGGGACACTACAAGCAGGGCTTCCTCCAGGGCAGCCAGCCTCCCACCCACTCCCTGGAAGACCACTTAGGGAGGCTTGGGAGGCACTCAGGGCTCCTCTGTCAGTGAATCTGACTGCCCACCACCCCACCTCAGGGTGGGCTTGCCATGGGACCTTGTGCTGAGTGACAACACATTCTGCAGCCAGGCCTGACTGGCTTTTGCAGCCTCCCTCTAGCCGGCCCAAGGTCCTGTCCCACCCTGCCTCAGCCCCCTTCTGATTTCAGCTTACCACACCCTCCTTGGCCCATAACCCCCAAGTCCATGGGTCTTGGCAAAGGCACTCCCCCAAGGGCTGCCCAACAGAGGACCACTAAGGGCTTTTAGGCCCTGGACCCCATTGAGGCACTTGCCTCTTCCCCAACCCTGAGCACATGGAGGGTGCTGGCACGCTCACCTGACACCGACGAATTGGAGATGGACTTGGACTGAAAGCTGGAATTGGAGATGCTGCCTGTGGGAGAATGCACAGGGGTCAACACAAGATGGCAGCAGTGACGTTTCCCAGCTTCTCCAGTGGCCTCTGCACATCTGCCATGGGTGATGGGCCTTGCCCACCTGTGCCTGCCTCCTGGCCTTGCAGGCCTCGACTCAGTCATTCATGCAGAGCCCTCCCCAGCACTCTGGTGAGGCAGCTCCAGACCTAGCCAGTGCCAGAGGGAGGCGAGGCTATAGGAAAGGCGGATTCCAGAAGGGCCATCCAAAAAGCAGGGGGCTTGGGACCTTAGAAGCAGCAGGTCCTGAAAGAGCAGACCCTTTCCCAGTGTCCCTTTGGGGACCCTACACACTGCAGGATTGGGACTGCTAAACAGGCCTCACTGTGTACCCAAGACAGTTCGCTGTAGCCACTCCACCCCACTGGAGAAGGGCCCCCACCATCCCATTCTCTGTGTCCCCCAGGAAGGGAGAGACCTGGGCACCCCCCAGACTGGGGCATTCCAGGCTGGCACCACTCACCACTCAGACCACCTGGCCCAAACGTTAACAGGGAGAGCAAGCCCACGCCTCAACCTGGGCATCCCTGGGCTGGGTTGGGGGACAAGCAAGGTGAGTGGGCCACAGATGAGGAGGACCTCAGACAAGTGGCTGCAGGTCTCTACTTCTGCATTTCCTTTCCTCAGGCCCCACTGCAAAAACAGCAGGGAGGATCCTCTGGCTGAGTGTTCCCAGAGCCATAGGGTTAGGGCTGTGGTGGGGGCTGTGCTGGGCTCCCCGACATTTCAGAGGGAACCTGGGGCTGGCCAGAGCAGCAAGCCAAGTAGAAGTCTACCAGGATAGTAAGGCTGGGGGAAGACAGGGGGAGGGCCTGGGCAGCCCCCCACCCCCAGCTGCTCTGCCCACTGACCCTACTACACAGACCTCAGGCCTTGGGCTCCCCTGGAGTGGCACCTGCTGTGCTTGTCACCTAGACCATGGCTGGGGGCAGTGGCATCTGTCTGTCCAGGTCCCCCAGGACCCCTCCCCATTGGGACAGTTCATGTGCCAGTGCAGCTGGGTGGGCACAGGCAGTCTGGAGGGGCTGCTCTTGACAGCGGTTAACTTCCCATCAGGCACTGAGGTTCTTAGTCTCACCTTTCTTCTGCGGCTTCTGATTCATTATTAGCTTGTAATGGAGATCTGAAAGCAAGTACATGCTCTCATCATTTTCAAAGCCATAGCCATTTTGAGAGAAGCTTGGCTTGCCCTACCCATCCCCTCCCTGCTGAGCCCCAGAGAGACCTCATTCATGACCCTGGCTGCCAGGACACTGACGCAGGGGCCAAGCCTTTGCCTTGGGCACCCTAGGGCGGGAAATGCCTCTGGCTGTTCCCTGAGCCAAAGCCCCTGCTTGAGAGCCTCACCTGAAGTCTGACCCTTTGTCCATGACATCTACAGGGCACCCTTTACCAGGCGGGGGCCTGGTTCTAGGGGTACAGGAGAGAGTCAGGATGACCCAGGTCTCCAGGAGCCCCTGGCCTGGCCATGGATGAGCAGATGTAGTCAGTGCAACAATCAAATGATGCCCAAGACGCGGGCTGGAAATATCCAGCCTGGGCATCAGGGAGGGACTGGGGTGAGACTCAAGACATGGGGAGGGGGTGGTCCTGACATAATGGATACCCAATGATGGAGTTGCTTGGCACTCCAGCTGCAGGAGAAAGGAGGGGAGTGAAAAACCCAGGCAGGCCTAGATGTGCACAACAGCTCTAGCTAAAACGTGAGGAAGGCCAGGGAGAGGAACAGGGTCCCATCAAGGAGGCCTCAAGTTCGCTTCAGGCCTGGCCTAAGGGGATGAGGAGACAGGTGGGATATAAAGTTAGGAAGGGAGGTTTTCCCTGAGAAGGCGCAAGGGCACGTGGCCCAAGGTGTATGGGGCCCAGGGATCCCTCCGGGACCGGCATGCCTGCTCTTGAACTGGGCGTGCTTAGTGTAGGGAATTTAATTGAGCTGTATACTCCAATGTTTTATTTCTATAAAATGTTTTTTTTTGTTGTTGTTTGTTTTTTTAAAAAAGGCAGGCCGGCCCTGCATACAAGGAAACAGCTGGCTGGGCAACCTTAGGAAATGAAGCCAGACCAGTCCCAGCTAGATGGGCAGATGGCCAGGAAGGCACCTGCCATGACCACCTGGGGTTTTTGGCCTGAGGAATGAGCCCAGGCCCCCGTGGCAGGACCCGGGGTGAGTTGCTGCCCTGTGTTCTCCCTAAACTCTGAGTGTTCTAGAGTCCATAGGGTGTTTCTGTGCTGAAGGCCCTGGGAAGGTACCAGGGAGGCAGGGTCTGCGCGTCTCTCAGGTCCCACCGCAGGAGGAGTCCCCCCACCCCACCACCCCCCTACCTCCCGGCCCCAACGCCTGTACTTACCCTTGTTCTCCCGCTTCAGGCGCTCAATCTCCTCGTGGAGCTTGGCCAGTGTCTCCGAGTGCTGCTGCTGCAGGAACAGCAGGCTCTTTTCCAGGTCCAGGACCCGCTTCTGCGCCTCGCTGAGCCCAAGGTGCGCGCCGTGCTGCCCCGAGTGCTGGAGGACCGCGGATGGGCGCTGACGCGGGCGCAAGGCGCCCCGGAGGCCCGAGGTCCCAGAGGTAGAGGGCCGGTGCCCGACCGCCACCCCCACGGTACTCATGGAGCCGCCGCCGCTGCCTCTTCTGCCGCCGCTTAAAGTCCACTCGGTGGCCTGGCTGCCCTGGCCGGAGCCACGTCGCCATGGAAACGGGCGCGACCGAGGGCGGGGCGTTAATGGGGTTGGGTCCTGGGAGCCCGAGGGGTGTGATGTGCAGGAGGGGGCGGGGCCTGGGGCCTTGCTCTGCCTGGGTGAGTGCTACCTGACTTAAAAAGGCATCCTCTAAGGGGGTAAAAAAAAAAGGCATCCTCTGGCTTAAATGTCAGATAATCCTCTGCCCTTACAGTAGGCCTTAATTTTTGTTATAACAGTTCAATTTTTAAATAGACGATTCAATTACAGGTTCAAAAGTCAAAATGTAGTTTCCAATTCCAGTAACTGCAGAATCCCCATGCATTATGAAATGTGTACAAAATATGAAACAGCTCTCTGAAAGCACTGGAGGACAAAAAGCAGGCGGAAAATGGAGGGCAGGCAGCTCTTGAGAGAAGAGCTCTTTTTTCCCTGAGGGCTCTCTCTGCTCAGCTAGACCTCAAACAGGGAGCCACAGGCTTATTATAGACTCCTGGAGGCAGAGGATGGAATTTGGGTCCTCCACTGCCACAGAAAATTTAGGGGGTAATGCTGGGTAGTTTGGAGCCTCAGCAGGTGACGTGCCGGAAGCTATAACTCCTTTCCAGTATGGGCTGGCCCGAACTGCAGGGTGGTTAAGATTCCAGGACCCCAGGGAAAAGACAGGGCTGCAAAGCCATTGAGCTGAGAAGAGATTCATTTACTGCCAACTCCAGGGAAGACTTGGTAAACATCTCAGTTTTCCCTTTAAACCCCAAAAGGGCCTCACCTCTGGAATAAACACTATGTTCTAGAAATAAGGGATTTGCACTAAGACTACAGGGAAAAACAAAATGTATCTGTCAAAATAAAATTTAAAGCCCAATCTCCACAAGGTCATGGCAATCTTCCAGGAACTCAACTGCCTAGAGAACAAAACTCACCTCTTCAGAGGATAACAGAACCCAGTGTCTCTCTGACACATCATTCACAATGTCTGATATACAATAGAAATACCAGACATGCAAAGAAACAGACAAATGTGATTGAGTCAAGAAAAAACAATTCAGATTCAGTCAACAGAAAGATTCACAAATAATTCTAGATAATAGAATTAACAGAAAAGTGCTCTATGTTTTAAAATCTACAGGAAAAGGTGGCTATGGTGATTGAAACCATGGAGAATTTTTAAAATAATTGTGTGTGTGTGTGTGTGTATATATATACACACTTTTTTTATATATATAACTTTTTTTTTTAAAGGAAATCCTAGAACTAAAAATGTACTTCTGGTTCCCAGGTCTGGCATGTAAGGAACTTAAAAACTGTCACTCCCATTGACACAAAAAGAAAAAAGCTGAACTGAAATCAGTAACTCTTAGATCCATTGGAGAATTGAGGTCACAAGGTAAACCGCTACCCCAAAATTGGAGAGACGGACAGGACAGAAAATCACAACTTACTGGAGCAGAGACCTCCGCAGGAACCAGTACCATGGTGGGAAAGTCTAAACTTTCACAGATGAATTGTTGGAGTGGCTCAGTGTGGACAAGGTTAAGAGTTAAAAAATCCAGGGGGGAAGGTCCAATCTTAAGGAGCCCTCATACTTTTATGAGTTTAACTTCCAGGAGCCCTACCAGGTTCTCACAGGGAAGAATGGAGAAAAATCCTCTTGTGCTCCCAGCAGGAAGAGGGAAAAAGTCACCATTTTGAAATATGCCCAGAGCAATCTGTTCTTCTTTACTAGGCCTTTCCTCAAAAGAAACTAAGAGCTAAACTGACTGGGATTTTACTAGAGCCTAGCTGACTTGGAGGAAGGGAAATACCCAATTCTAGCTCCATTTTGTCTTCTCTCTCTCTCCACACCCTGCCACCACATCAATACAGCTTCTGAATAAAAAAGGGAAACACAAATGAAAGAACTGCTCATCTCAGCCCTCACTTAAGAAGCCTCTAGGAAAACCCAGACAACAGAGAAGACAAGAGGAAGGGCACCAGTGAACATTGCTGCCTCTAATACCTACGACTATAGCAAACAATTAACATGGACTATAGTCAGATAAACACAGAACTTCATACTGGAAACCTATTTACCTCAGTTCCTTCTACTCAGTACATCATGTCCAACTTTCAGCAAAAAATTACAGGGCATACTAAAAGAAAAAAACACAGTTTGAAGAGAAAGCAAGCATCAGAGCCAGACTCAAATATGGCAGAGACGGAATTTAAAACTATGATTCACATGCTAAGCATTCTAATGGAAAAAGTGGACAACATGAAATAACAGATGGGTAATGTGATGGGGACTAGTGAAGCCATAGAGATGGTCAAGGGGGTGACACCCCATCTTCATGGGCAGGGTTGCATTTCCGTCAGAGAAAACTGCAAAGGAGGTATTGTGGGGAAATTATGCCATATTTAACATCTGATCCCAGGCCATTATCTCGTAGTGTGTTCATCTCTCTTCTCTTGACTTAATGCGTCTGGTAACAAAAGCCAATCATTTGTCAATGAACTTGTTGAAAACTATGGTTATCATTTCCCATTTCCATCAAACTTGACCCAAAGCAACTGTCCTGCCCAGGGACAGGGAACATTAACATTCAGGCCAGGCCACAGCACTCCTGGTGAGTTGCTCACGTGGGGCTAAGTGCACACAGTTCAGTTCCCAGCTGCATATGCGACCCTCTGAGCTTCCCGAAGCCACAGGAGGTGCCAGTGTTTTGTATGAAGGCCAACTCTGACATGCTGAATAGAAGACAAAATTCTCAGAGCTTAGATCCAGTTTGGGGCCTGTGCTGGCCAAGGCCCACTCTGGGCCTGCTTCCTCAAACCTCTGGGGGCCCACTGTCCCTATTACAACCACTGTGTCTACATCTGCCTCAGTCTGCTGCTGCTATAAGTGAGTCCACAGACCCCCTGGGTAAGGAACAGGGCACCCGGCAGCCATCTGCAATCCCCGAGTGCTGGCCCTCTGTAGGGGACCACACTGGAGGCAGAGTCCAGGCACTGCAAGACTCAGGGGCAAGAACAGGTTTCTTCACATCCAGGGTCGGTTACAAATCCGGTTGGAATTTTGGTCACAGGACCCAAAATGCCACCATTCTGAGTTTACATCAAAATACAAAGCCCAACTTTTATAGTTTGAGAATTAAAAACACATAAACACAACACACTAAAAACAATGGCTTAGTTTAAATCGCTGTTGAAACAGTGATCGTTCAAATCATTGTTCTCTCCAGTGAGTCATCTGTACTGTGGTGTGTGAGACCCCATGGGGACTTTGACAGTGAACGTGTAATTGTGTAGTTTAAATATTTAAGTGCTATCAAAAAGTTATTGTCTTTGAGCACTTGATTTTATTGCAGATACAAACAATGCTTTTGAGCATCTTTGGTTGTAGACCAGAAGCGTGCTGGATGGTCCTGCCGTATCCCTTCTGCCCAGAGAGCCCATCCTGTCAGACAAGGTGGTGACACAGGCTGCCAATGAGTGACGTGCTCCCTGGCTTGGGGGCCGGAAGGGAGCCAGAGGCGAAGCACTGTCTCACCGAGCACCTGTGCTCCTAGAGGATCTTTTCTCCTCAAAAGCAGAATTGTATGGCCCCGACTTGGAATCGCTTGGGAGAACACGAAGGAGAATGACCCTTGCTTTGCCAAGTGCAGTGGCAAAATTTAGTTTTAAAATTAGGAATTAGAGAACCATCATCTAATTTTATCAGGAATCTCTTAGGGTCTTTGATTCTTCTCTGGAGCCAGAGGCTGAGCTGCTGTCCTGGTGTCACCTGGGGAGAGGAGACGCATGCCACACTGCCCCCCTCAAGGACAGCGAAGGCAGAGGCCAAGAGCCCTCCTGGAAAAGCACTAAATCCTCTTCACGTGGCTAAATCCCGTAACAGTTAAAGAAGAGAAAGGCCTCGAGAGCCACCTCACTGCAGGGCCTCCGACTACGGGAAGGAGGGAAGCGGCCGGGCCCTGGGCTGTCCCTGTCCTCGCGGCTCATGGGCCCTTTGATGTTCCTTCCTGGCCAAGCCTGGACTGCGCGCCCTTCGTGTTTCAGGTTCTCTTCCAGATGGCTGTGAGGCTGCAGGAAAACACCCCCTAAGAGTGTGAAGGTGACCAGGCACAGGCTTGGAGGGAGCCTCCCAGGTGTACGAGAGAGGCCGTGTGGCCATCCTGCCAGCTTGCGTGGGGACAGTGTCTGGCTCCCGGTCAGAGCTGGTGCAGTTTGCCACGCTCGGTCAGCAGTGTCATGGCCATGGCATATAGGAAATAGCCTAGCACAAGGAGCAGGGCACAGGGCAGGGGCCCAATGCTGAAGAGAGAGGCCACAAAGAAGGCCAGCAACAGTGACAGTAGTGTCCGGTAGCTGCCCAGGAAGCGCAGGCTGAGCCTGGGGCCCCGGGCACAGCCAGCTGAACGTCCCTGCCCCACAGGGCTCAGCAAGTGCCTGTTGGTCAGCCCGGGCTCCATGAGGTGGTAGCGACACAAGCTGCCGAGGAAGTCAGCCCGGGAACACAGGGCTGCCATCTGGTCTGCAAACTAGAGCACAGAGAGAGGCATGAGGGAGTGGGCAGTAGGCAGGGGCCATACTCTCCACCCAGCCTCTCCTCGAGGCCATAGGAAGAGAAGGGTACTGAGGTGAGGGTGTGGCCCTCCTGCCCACACTCACCCTGTGGTTGATGGTGGAGGACAGCCGGAAAAGCAGGCGGACCAGGCCGGCGATCTCATAGCTCCGGATTGGCTGCAGCTCCGAGTCCCCCTGGTACTCGATCTCAAACTTTCGCAGCCCATTGATGATCTGGAAACAGGAGAGGTGAGCCCCGGGTGAAACCCAGGCCACAGGAGCAGTCCAGGAAACACACCTTTGCAAATGACTTAGCAGAGCAGTCTCTGCTTACAGGCAATGGGGACAGGCAAGCAGGACCACCAGCTGTGCTACTTGGAAAGCCCTGGGGAGCCAGGCCCCTCTGGGATGTGGGCCTTACCTGGTACCGGCCCAGGGGTGTGAGGATGAGTCCGTCCTCACCCACAATGCAGTCTGGGAGCTGCTTCTTTCCATTCTCATCCTGAGTTGTCCCCAAGGCGAGTGTGAGCTGGGTGAGCTGGGCCTCATTGAGCTATTGGGGAGAAAACTACCTGCTTTTAGTTTCCATGTGAAGGGAGGAGACGGGTCTTCATCTCACTGGATCTCTAACAGCAACAACAATGGGACCCAGACACGACATTGCAGGCACAGGCCTGCATCTCCCACAGGATGAACCCAGGAGCCCCATGTGGCAGGACCCACACTGGGTCCTGGTCTGTGGCTGGGCAAGGAGGTGAGGGTCATGGAACTGAATCCTGGGGAGGGGATAGCCCCATGGCTCGTACTCGGAACATCTGGCACAGGTACTCCAGGGCCTTCTCCAGGTACTCATCTGTCTTGCGGACGCTGTCCTGCCCCATCTCGTCCAGGTCGTTGGCTGGGTAGAAGCTGTTTGTGTCCGAGGGGTAGAAGCCCAGCCATGACAGAAAGGGGCGGCCAGCTGTGCTCTCCCCACACTGGTCAGAGATGGACTTGGCGGTCTGCTTGGCTTGTGTGATGAGCTGAGCCAGGCGCAAGACCTGCAGGACAGGTGAGAGGTCAACCGGCTCTGGAGGGGTCATCTCATGGCACTCAGCCACCAACAAAACAGTGGGCAGTCCAGGGGGAAGCCACCAAAGGCCAGAAGGGGTGGTTTCCACGTTATAAGAATTTTTAAAGACTAAGATGCATGTTTTAAATGTGGAAAATTTCCAACACACACTGCCTTTATTATCAGAAAGAAATTAAGACTTCACTGAACAAAAAAGGGGAAGGGGGGAGTAGTAGCACCTACAAAAACCGGATCTTCCTTTATTCCCCCTAATCTGTGCACCTGCCCTGGCTCACTGTCCCAGAAGTTCAGGACGGCCCTGTGGCCACTGGAGCCCTGACTCACTCACCAGTGTCCGCACCTCCGGGCCAAACATTGGGGTGTACTTGCAGTCCTGGCCCTCCAGGCTGTAGACGTGGCTCTTCACCTTGAAGGAGGTGTCGGTGACGGCCGGTGGCCACGATGACAAGAAGCTGCCAGTGAACGTGGGAGCTGTGAAGAGCCGGTGCTGACGGTGGGGGATGACAAGTTCGGGCTCCAGGAACAGCTGCTCACCTGGAAGGCAGGATATGAGTTTGGCTTCCGCTTTCAAGAATACAAAATACCCAGTTGCCGCTGGCAGTCTTCCTGAGCGCCTCATGAGGTTTTCGAGGGGCAGTGATGGTACAGTGTGGGGGCCCAGGTCCTAATGCTCCTGGAACCCCTGCCGATCTCAAAGGAAGGCCAACACTAGCCAAGAGAAGCTAACGCCCAACAAAGCTGGCAAAACACAAAGACAAAAGCACACCAGGGACCAAGCTTGCCTGATGCCACCACCCAGAGTCACCAGGGAGATGCAGCTCACAGCACTGCTTACCCTCCTGTCAGGCACAGCACGGTCCCAAGCCCAGCATGCTGGCCACAGGGAAGGCGGAGTGCAGCCAGGCTCACACCTTCACCCACCACTGGGCACCAGGATTCCCCACACCACTCCTTACCAGGCTCCCACAAGCCCGTAAGGCGCGTTTAAGGTCTATGGGTCCCTCTTTAAGTGCTGCTTTCCACTGGCTAAGAGCTTACCTTTCTGGATCATCTCAGCCAGGTTGGGCTGAGCGAAGACTTTGGCCACTCGGAACACCATGAGCGCGTTCTTGGGGCTGACCAGGTCAGTGCGCAGGGCACGGCTCAGGAAGCCCACGAACAGCTTGGTGTACATCAGCAGGTTCTCCTGCACAAAGGGTGCCCTGGGGATCGGGAAGCAGGTCAGGGGCCAGACCTCCCGAGTGGGCAAGGCCACACGGGTCCTCACTCCCACTGCACCCCTACTTCTCCCCACCCATGACCTCATGGAGGTGTCAAGGATGGTGGCTGAGGGGGCCTAGGGGTGGCAAGGGAGGAGGCAAGATAGAGGGAAGAGAGACCTAGATCCCTTGAGGCCAATGGATCCTCCCCAGGATGAGGGCCTTTCCAAGAAGACCACAGCCAGGTGGTCAGGGAACCAGAGGGATGCACAGGAGAGGGCAGGCAGAGAGGAGGTACAGACGGAAGCCTGGAGGCCAGTCAGGAGATGTTGGGGAGGTGTGGCAGCTGCTATGAGACAGCTGGTGAGGAAGGGTCGAGGGTGAGAGTAAACATACATCTGAGTGAGATGATAACCACAAGGAGACAGAGGGGAAGAGGGTGACGCGCTATTTCCTTGGGAAACCAATCCCAGGGCCCAGGTACAGATGCTTGAGCAGTGCCCAGGTGAGACACAGCAGAGTCAAGGAGGGGCAGCCCATGTTCCCACTCTGCAGGAGCAGAGCCCTAGGAGGCCCCCAAAGCAGGTCCCCTGAGGGAGGACAGGATGCTGGGGCTTACCATCTCTCCGCCACGCAGCGGGCCTGGCCGTCGCTGCTCTGAGTCTGCTTCTCAGGTGCATACCTCCAGGGCTGCAGGTAGCTTAGCCACATCTCCAGGACCTGGTGAAATATGTTTGCATACAGGTGGACTGTGGCGGGGTGGGCTTTGGGCTAGGTCCTTGGGTCACCTGGAGCCTGGTGTGGGAGGCAGCTCAGCGGAACAAGGGTGCATCCTTAGCTGCGGGGCTTTGCTCTGCCGGGAAGGGCAGGGGTGTCTCTAGGTTCTGGCTTCATCCTACACTCCCGAGAGGTCATGGGGTTATTTAGTGCACCCCTAGGTTAACTCTCTCGCTATCCCTTCAAAAAGCGGGGCCAAGTACAGCTCAGTGAGGTGTGACAGGACTGACACTCACAGCTCTGAATGATGCGTCCAAGGGCCAGTGGCCGAAGCAGTGTTGCAGGAAGAGGTAGAGCTTCTGCTGGACAAACCTCGGGATGGCGGCTCTGCAGGAGAGGGGGTAGGTCACCTCACAGGTGAGCCCTGTGGCTCCCATTGCAAAGGTTAGCTCTGCCAGGGGAAGTGCTGGGCACTCTCTGGGGGTGAGCCCCATTCTTCAGAGGTAGAATCCAAGGTTCAGAGAGGTTAGGGAATGTTCCAAGGACGCCTAGTGTTGCCTTACAGCTACCTCCACGACCGCCCCTCCCGCACTAACCCCTGACCTATATGGTCCTGAGAAAGTGTCCTGGTATGACCGAGACCCAATCCGTAAAGCTTTCTCTAGGAGTGTCTCGGTATGACTGAGACCTGGTGGAATGATATCGGTCATCTCCCTTAATTATATAGGACGCGGTACAGTAACGCTGTCCTGGGGGCTGTGCAGGCTGTATGAAGGCATAGTACATGTTGGAATACAATGGGAGCTGGTTAATGGAAAACAGCCTTAAGGCACGTAGTTCACGGATCTTTGAATAACACAGTTTCACTTCCTTGTAATTTTCTCAATAAAAGCCATGCGACGACCCGACTTGGAGCTCAGTCTTCCAGGCTGGGTCCCTTGGTTTTGCTCCAACCTTATCTTTGTCTCTTGTACTTATTCACCTGCGTCGCCCCTCTCGTTTCCCATTTGCCCTTGCCACGCAGGACGTGACAACATAGCATGCACATGTTTGGTCCAATGTGTCTCCTGTACGCTTGCCAGCTTGGTTCACCCCACTACCCCAGCCTGGGGAGAGGTGAGGGAGGGGGCAGCATAGAGCTCAGTCTCCTGTGACAACTGAGCCACTCTGCTGCAAAGGCACTCCCAGCCCATTGGCTTTCTTGCCTGCCACTGGGGAGAAAGAGATAAGAGGGAGCAGCAAGATGGAGCCTCTCCCTGGCCGGCCTGGCTCTTTCCACTGAAGAGGGCAGGCCTGGAGGGAAAAGCCATGGCAGGCGGAGAAGCAGCTGGGCAGCCCCCACCCACTTCTGGGGCCGGGTTGGAGGAGAGGAGGAGACGAGGTAATTTCCCACCGGCCCACCCTGCAGAGGCCTCATGCCTCCGTTCACCTGGCCCACACACCCTGGAGAAAGGTCACTGTGGGCAACACGTAGGCAGAGGATGAGGAGGAGACAGACGGGCTGGGCAGAGCAGCCCTGCACACAGTCCTGGACTCACCGTTTGAATTCCTCCAGGGGGCTGGTGGCATGAGAGTGGGCGGAGGGAGAGGCTTGCTCTGGCTTCAGGCTGTTAGAAAAGGCGTGCAGATGCTTGAGCAGCAGGCGCACCACCAGCACGTGCTCCTCGGTGGGCGTGAACGACTCCTAAGGTTGAGAAGTGCGCAGCATCAGGACCCAGGTCCTTCTGAGCAGGAACCCCAAGTCTGACCACATCCCACCTAGGCCCAACTCTCTGCTCCCCTCACAGGATACATGGGCCCGGCTGGGAGTGGGACTACCTGGAGCCCCACCCATGCCTGGCACCTGCAGATGAGCCTGGCACCGCTGGGTCTGAGACCAGCTAAGAGTGGTGCAGCCTCGGCAGTGCACCCTGGGACAGCTAGACAAGACAAGCAAGACAAGTCTGCCAAGTGCTTCCCTGTGTGCTTCAAACGCCCTTTTTGCACTTCTGTGGATGACTTGACTCATTGCTGCCCATCCAGGTCGCCAGGGGTCCTAACCTCCTAGCCAGCCAGAGGACAAGGAACAGGGGGGTGGATAGGCCGCCATCCCACCCGGGACCTGGATTCAGGGCCTCCACCTGCCGCCTGGACGTGTGCAGACAGCTCCAGAGCCCCACAGCTTCTCCTTTCCAGTTGAGCCACTCCCCAGTTCCTCCTGCTGCCGAAATGCCACCCCACTACCTCCCCCCGCTCCTGGACACAGCCCTTCCTCCACTGCTAGTGAACCTGAAGTCAGCACAACCCCAAAGACAAGAACACCCTCAATCTTGTGAGCCGAACTTTTGGTTCAGAGTCCTTGTAGGATCTCTGAGAACCAGACCCGAGAGGAAAGCCTGTTTGCCGGCTGCCCAGGG